TCAGCTTCCAGCACTTGCCGCACCCGCCCTTCCCGTTGCCGCAGTTGGATGTGTACGGCTTGCCCATGGCCGTGGCAGGCGTCGAGTCCCCGGAGGCGGTCGCCGTGTTGATGGAGAGGAACGGCGTGAGCATCCAGTCCGGAGTCGCAACGGCGACGTAGCCGTGCTTCTCGATGAGCGTCTTGCTGAGCGGCTCGCCGTTGCAGTTGCACGCGGTGTTGGAGCCAAAGCCAAAGTCTGTCGTCGACGCCAGGATCTTCGGCGTGCCGACAGGAGCGGCGGCGGTGAGCCCGAGTCCGATGGCGATGGCGAGCGTAGCTTGCATCTGTGGGGCGGGGGCGGGCGCATCGGTGAGTGCACGGCGTGGCGGCCTGGTCGGCGGCAGCCGTGAAGGCGGGCTGCACCATTGTCGGTAGGCCAGTCTCTTCCTTCACGGTTCTCTCGAGGTTCTCGAGGTGGATATCCTTTGGCCGCGTTGGGTTCACGGTTCTGGACGCGACCACTTTTTACGTCCTTCATGAATGTCGGCGCCATTCCTTACTCAATTCCTTCACTCAAAAAAATTCCTCTCTTTCCGATTGAATAGGATTGCACAACAAAAGGCATTGAATAGACATAGCGGGAGGGTCTCTCTTCTGTCGGCAGGCTGCCCTGGAGCAGCGGCACTACCTAGAGATTCTTGATTGATTGTTTGTTTGTGAGATTCTTTCTTTGAGGTCCCAGCTAACGCCGAGGGGCTACAACAAGCGCGTCGGCATGCGGTAAAGAGGGAGACGCTCATTCAAGAGTACCCAGAGGGCGGGCAACGCTGCCAGGATGTGGAGGTCTTCACCCGCAGCTTACACAAAAGGCAGGTGGGCCGACTGATCGCGCCATCAACACACAAGGGCGTCAATCTCGTAATGACATACATCCACGAGGGCTACGGTCACCTCCGGATGGGGAGCGCATATTCCACTCACTGTGTGACTTCATGCACCTCCCCACCGACCACCCCAGATTCCTCTAACCACTTTTGGAACGACCGCACGGGGATCGTACCATACGATGGAGACGAAGCCGCACAGAAGGAGCACACTCCTGAGGTGACCTACAAGCTACAAGGAAGCGAGACGCGGCATAGAGCGAACGGTGCGCGTCGGAGGGCAGTGGTCGATCGGCCGCGTACTAATGGAGCCGCTCTTCTACAATGCACCTGGCAGGATGGTGGGGAGCGGCAGCGATCGACGAGCCAGGATGGGAAAGGCAGGATAGGGAGAGACGGGCCAAGCCAAAGTTGGACGCCTGACACAAACAAAAATCTCTCTCTCTCTCCAAACACCACAACAACACTCTGTTTTTCGCCTTCGATACATTCATACATCCCTGAGTCAGTGGGACTCGGTGCGTGAGTGAGCGACCACTCGGGCAAGCTCTGTCGATATAGCCCTACCCCTCCCAGCGCGCTAGCCCTATGGGACCCTGTGGAGCCCTCCCGACGCCGATCCGACGGGAGGAGCGTGGAGGGGGGTGGAGGGGTGGTGAGCCCTCAAGCTCTGTCGATATAGCCCTACCCCTCCCGCCGTTTTAGGGCCTACCCACCCGCTATGATGTTTAACACTTCTCACCATGCTTCTCACTTGCGCGATACACGTCACAACCACCATGATCATTTCGACAACAGGGTGCACACACACTCAGTCAGGTGACGGAGCACAGCCAGCCCACGACACAGTGGCGAGCCCTCGAAGTCTCGAGCACCTCGTGCTCCAGCAGCGGGGAGTGCATCAGCACGAGTGTGCCCGCCTCGGGCTGCACGTCCACCGGCGCGGGCTTAGCAAAGATACGCAGCGCGCCGCCCCAGTCCGGCCGCCACACAGGGTCGAGGTAGAGCAGCAAGCTGACCTCGCGGTGCTCGCCCGTCGGCGACGGCGCCGGCGGCGTGTCGCGGTGGCGCCGGTAGAAGCCACCCGCGGGGTAGTAGAGGTAGGCGAGGCTCGTCGCCTCGGTGTCGAGGGGCCGCGCTGTGCAGCCCGCGTCGAGCAGCTCGGCCCTGAGCGCCTCGGCCGTGCTGAGCAGGGCCAGCCGAGCGGCCGGCGCGCCGTGCAGCGAGAGTGGCGGCTCGTGGATCCACACCGAAGCTGCCCTCCTCAGCTCGGTCTTGAGCTCGACCGCCCAATCAGAGCTCTCGCTCTCTGCGACGCCGCCCACCCCGGCGGCGCGCGGCACTCCGGCCGCCTCCAACGCGAGGGCGTCCGCGAGCAGAGCAGCGGTGTCCGCAGCGCGCAGCCAACCGGGGACCACCGCATAGCCGAGCCGCTCGAGCGAGTCGAGCGCGGCCGCCGGCAGCGGTTGGCGGGGAAACGGAGCGCGCAACCGCGCCGCGCCGCGCCACGCGAGCTGTCGCAGCATGGAGTTCGCTGGGCTAAGAAACCTTTGCGATGCCGGCTGGAGCCGAGAAGGTGGCGTGGGCTCGTGACGGCCTGGGCTCGTGACGGCGAGGCGCGGCAGCTAACTCTTCGCTGGGCCCGGTCGCTGACGAGAAGAAAACGGAAAGCCGGAATGGCGGAACGCGGCGCCGGAAATTCTTTTCCTCGACGGGCCCCCACATTGGTGGTGTGGCCGAGCACGAGCAGCGTCGATGCATTGGACAGCAAATTTCCTATGCCTGCTCGCCACTGCGGGCGGAGTTCAGCCTAAAAGAGGGCAGTACACGGCGGCGCTCGACGGCGGCGACGAGAGCGTGCTAGTCCGGCCGGGAATCTGTCGCCGGCGGCGGAGCAGGCGTCGAGCAGCGTCGTGGCGGTCTCCGATCAAGTCGTAGAAGCGGCTAAGCGAGGCGAGGAGGCGGCGGTGCTGGCGTGGCTCGACAGCGGCGGGCGGGCCGACGCGACGTACGAGAGAGGCAAGGTGAGCGGCTTCACGCTGCTGATCGCCGCCGCCCGCTACGGCCACGAGCGGGTGGTCGACTTGCTGCTGCAGCGCGGCGCTGAAGTCAACCTGCAGGACAGCGACGGCTGGACCGCGCTGATGTACGCCGCCCGCTACGGCCACGAGCGGGTGGTCGAGCTGCTGCTGCAGCACGGCGCGGATGTCAACCTGCGGAGCAGCAACGGCTTCACCGCGCTGATGGTCGCCGCCGACCAAGCCCACGAGCGGGTGGTCGAGCTGCTGTTGCAGCGCGGCGCGGAGATCAACCTGCAGACCAGCAGCGGCTGGACCGCGCTGATGGCCGCCGCCGTGTCCGGCCACCCCGCCGTCGTGCGGCGCTTGCTGCGGGCGGGCGCAGACGCGGCGGTGCGCTCTGAGGCCGGCAAGTCCGCGTTGCAGTACGCCAAGGAGAAGGGCGACAGCGCGTGCGTCGAGGCCTTTCGGAAGCACCTCGCGGACGCGGTTGCGGGACGGCACGAGGCGACGGCAGTCGGCGGCGCAGGCGCAGGCGGTTCCTCCGGGGGCGCTTCTGGCTTGGCAGTCCCCGACGAGGTCTTGCTAGCTGCGGAGCGAGGCGACGAGGCGGAGGTGCTGGCGTGGCTCGACAGCGGCGGGCGGGCTGATGCGACGTACGAGAGAGGAGAGGCGAGTGGCCTCACGCTGCTGTTGGGCGCCGCTTATCACGGCCAGGAGCGGGTGGTCGAGCTGCTGCTGCAGCACGGCGCGGAGATCGACCAACTGCAGGGCAGCGACGGCAGCACCGCGCTGATGCTCGCCGCCCACAACGGCCACGAGCGGGTGGTCGAGGTGCTGATTCGGCACGGCGCGGAGGTCGACTTGCAGAACAGCAAAAGCGGCACCGCGCTTATATACGCCGCCCAGGAAGGCCACGAGCGGGTGGCCGAGCTGTTGCTTCAGCGCGGCACGGATGCCGACAAGCAGGACAGCACAGGCGTGACCGCGCTGATGTGCGCCGCCGGCAACCGCCACGAGCGGGTGGTCGACTTGCTGCTGCGGCACGGCGCGGAGATCGACAAGCAGGACGGCATCGGCGGCACCGCGCTGATGGGCGCCGCCTACCACGGCCACGACCGGGTGGTCGACTTGCTGCTGCAGCGCGGCGCGGAGATCAGCCTGCAGAACAGCGACGGCTTCACCGCGGTGAAGCTCGCCGCTAAGAACGGCCACGAGCGGGTGGTCGAGGTGCTGCTGAGGCATGGCGCGCAACTTTCTATGGCGGTTGTGCTGCTGCTGCTGCGGTACAATAGCCGTCCCATCTTTGCCGTTCTTGCCGCTACGGCCCCGGTGGCCTACGCCTTCAGCTTTCTATGGCGATTGTTCTCCGAGCAACGTCAGAGGGGGCGCCCGCACCGGCTGCGTCAAACGGCGCGAGAGCGTGCCATGGCTTTGTTTGCCGACGCGGCTGGCGGCCCCATGATTTTCGCCATCTGGCTCACGCTCGCGCTCACTTGTTGGTTCTTCAACGTCGGCAGACTCACTTTCATCCCCTTGGTCCCCTTGGTTTGCATCTCCTTTGTAATCGCGACTGCCACCACTGCCATGCTCTGGCCCTTGGAGGCGAGAGCAGCGGAACCGGCGCGAGGCGAGCGAGGGCGGCGACGAAGGCGTGGGGGGGCTGCGGAGGCAGACGCAGAGGCGGAGGCGGCGCGAGAGTGCGCCCGGCTCGAGGAGAGGGCGAGGCAGGAGCAGCGAGAGGCGCGGCGAGCGGAGGCGGAGGCGGCCAAAGCGGCCAAGGACGCGAGGCGGCGAGAGGCGGAGCGCCGGGCGGCGGCGAAGGCAGCGGCGGCGGCCGAGGCCAACCGGCAGATGGCCAAGGCGCGCGATGCGGCGGAGAACCCTCCTGCGCCGGTGGAGCTGGGCGCCGAAGAGGTGTGTGAGTTGAGACAGGAGTGCTTCGCTGTTCCTCCCCAGCCACGGTTGCCGGCGCGCCTCTGTAGGTGCTTAGTGCGCTCGAAGCGGCGGTGGAGGTTGGGCGCGGCGGCTTCGGCGTCGTCTATGCGGTGGAGCTGCCCTCGCTGCCGGGCTGGGGCCGCGTCGCCGTCAAGCGAGCCCTCTCAGGGGTGGATGCGAGGGAGGTGATGGCCGAGGTGTCCAACTTGCGGAGGTGCGCGCACCGGGACGTTCTGCCGCTACTCGGCTACTGCGGCGCGCCACGTGCGGCTTGCATCGTGACGGCGCTCATGCGAGGCGGCTCGCTCGATGACCACCTCCTGCTCTCGCCTGACGCGCGGGCGCGGCTGCAGAAGCTCGGCTTCAAAGGCACTCCGGGGCTGTCGTGGTCGCAGCGACTCTCGGCGCTCTGCGACGCCGCGCGGGCGCTGGTGCACCTCCACTCGAACCTCATTCTCCACCGCGACGTGAAGACGGCCAACATCCTGCTCGACGGCGCGTTGCTGCCGCTGCATACGGCGGCGGGCGAGAGGCGCGTCTACCCCGATATCACCCGAGATTGCCCTAGATTGCTCTAGATCGCTCGAGAGCTCCACTCCTTAGGCGCGTCTACCGCGCCTTCCTCTCAGACGTCGGTCTCGCCAAGGAGCGGGCAGGCGGGTCGATGACCATGGCGACCAATGCGACCAGCGCCTTCTACTCGACTGGCTTCGCGGACCCGAACTTCCTCGACTCGAACCAGCACTCGGCCAAGACGGACGCGTACGGGATCGGGATCTCGCTGCTGATGGCGTTGACGGGCGGCGAGCCGTCCAGAGGCCTCAGGAGCGCGTACGAGGACGACGTCTTGGACATGGTCGCCGGCAAGCAGGGCTCCGGCGGCGGGCTGCTGCATGCGGCGAGGCGGGCGGCCCACTGGCCTCAGGCGGCGACACGAGAGCTGGTCAAGGCTGTGCACGGCCTCGTCTACGAGCGAAAGTCGCAACGCTTGCCTCTGCCAGAGGCGCTGGCGGCGTTCGAGGCGGCGTTGCGCTTCGGCGATGCCAAAGCCACGCCCGAGCCGCTGGCCCTGATGGCCGAGGGAGGGACCCAGGGCACGCGCAACGCAAACGACGCTATCGGCGACAGATGGTCTACCGGTGGCATATCGCGCAGCGGCGACGACGACGGTGGCGCGGATGCTGGAGTGGCGGCCGAGGCGGCGCTGGTTGCGGCCGAAAGACCGACGGCGTCTGGCTCCGGTTTCTCGGCCGCCACATCCAGCGGTGCCTCGGCCAGCGGTGCCGGCGCTTCGTCGTCGTCTGGGGGCAGCTCTACTTCTGCGCCCGGCTCTCTGACGCGCGCGGTCGGCGGGCTGCACAAGGAATACGTGGCGGGCGGCGGCGATGCGTCTTTGGCGCGGCTGCAGGACCGGATCAGCAACGCGTACCTGTCCATGATGGGGCGTCTCGAGCGGCGGCACGAGCAGCGGGGAGGCGCGCCACTGCCCAAGGGCAGCAGCGAGGAGGAGAAGATCAACGCGCTTGCGCCGCGCAGCGCCGGGCAGTCGCAGCTCTGCGACTCCGCGCACACCCTGCGGCGCTGGTACAATGCGTGCAGGCACGAGCGAGGCCAGTGGAGCGTGGGTGCGCGGCCGAGTGACAAGGAGGTGGCGCGGGTGATTGAGAGGATTAGGGGGCTGCTGGACCTGGAGCGGCGGGCGTAGTCCGGTTGGGTAGTAGCGAGGGTGCTAGTGAGTGTTGTGTGTCTCGCGCCTTGCGGGGGGAGGGGGGGGGGCGGAAAGGCGGAGGAACCTCTTCGGATTCCTCCAAGAGCGCCACTCTTGGGGAGCGCCGCCACCACCACCGCCAGAGCGCTGCAAGCAGCGCCGGGCACAATGACGGATCCTAACCCGTTACCGCCCATAGCCATACATAGCCCATACCGCCCACCCAGACGATCTCCGCTCTCGGACGGGGTAGGGCGCCAAATTCTGCGGTGCGCTGGCCGCGGGCGCGCGCGACACGCGTGTTTTCTGGCCATATTCCTGCGAGGCCTCGCGACCTTAGATCTAGTCAAAATTCTTTGGGTGTATATGTGTTAGTCCGTAAGTTAGTGCCAGTGCGTGCCAGCCCCGTGCCCGCTGTCTCCCTTCCTCTCGTACGAAAAGAAGAAAAAGTGAACGAAAGAAAACAGACAACAAATGAGGGAGGGAGGAGGACAGGGTCCCCACCTGCACGAGCAGGATTTTAAGAAAGATAAGTCGCACCGTGTTTCTCTTATCAGGGTTGCTGTAAATTCTCTTGGCAGGGTGGCCCGCCACAACGACCCCTGGAATTGCGACTCGCCGCTTTCCTCCCGCTGTGATTCTGTGTGAGCTCTGTGTCTTGATTTGCCAACAATATACACCTATCAGTAACCAGCCTCCGGCGGGGCCCCCCGCTACCATCCAAACCCGAGTACAAAGCGCGCCTCCTGCGCGCCTCTCCGAGGCGCTGCGCAGATGGTCTACGAATCATAGAGGCTCAAGTGACAAGTCCACACCCACACAGCACACACACGCCGGGGACATCTGCCATACACAAAACATTACTCTCACGACACACGGGGATCGGGTGGAGCGGCGGCGGCGGCAGTGGCACGCGCGGGCGGACGGACTCGGACGGGGCGGAGCAGCGACCGCCTGGGCGGCCGCTGCTCTGTCTGCCAGAGTGCGGTGCGCGCCGTCTCGCCTGCGCGCTCGAGCGCGGTCAGGTGCACAGGGAAGCGTGGCGGCGCGGGGAAACGCGGCGGCGGTGGCGGCGGCGGCGGCGGCGGCGGCGGCAGCGGCACGCGCGGGCGGACGGATTCGGACGGGGCGGAGCAGCGACCGCCTGGGCGGCCGCTGCTCTGTCTGCCAGCGCGCCGTCTGCGCAGCGCCGTCAGAGGTGCACAGGGAAGCGTGGCGGCGCGGGGACGCGCGGCGGCGGTGGCGAGCAGGCGAGCGGCCCGCGCGCGGCGAGGCGGACAGGTGATCGGCAGGCGGGTGATGGGCCGGAGAGTGACCGCGCCCAGCGATCGGAGCGAGCCGATCGTCGCTCGGCCGCTGCTGACCTCGAAGGCGTGCGGAGCGCGACTGTCGGTGTCGGAGGGCGGCCGTCATGTGGCGAGGAGGGAGGACGACAAGTGCGCGTTGTACGGGTCGCTCTTCATCGGCCAGTCGAGCGGCACTCAAGTCGAGACCGAAGGAAAGCATGACGGGTTTGAGTCAGGCACTTCGAACGCCCATCGAGAATTCTTTTGGTCACATGGACCACCGAGAACTGGCACGGGCTGCAGATGCAACGCTTGTCTGTCGTTCTCCACACCGCCGTGGCGTGGCAGACGGTGAACAAGCTAGCGTGCGGGGACAGCGGCATTGTGCACGGAGCTAAGTGCATTGCCGTTCTTAACGGAGTCGCTTAGGCGGCTCCGGTGGTGTGCCGGTGATAGTACTAGCACGCGCCAGTTCGCACCTGTGTCGAGCCTGTGTGCTGTGAGATAGAGTTCAATTGTTTAAATTCTTTCATAGGTTGAAAGAAAGAGCTCGAGCCGGAGGATGCGGGGCTCTATATTCAGAAGAGGTGTTAACGCTAGAACGCACTGTGGTTTCTTGTTGGTTTTCAAAAATCGCTGAACCGCCGTTCTCAAGCTGCGCCTTGATGAGAATTCTTTTGACTGCAGAGTGGGAGCAAGAGGCGGCTGGACGAGGCCCAGATGGCTGCTTCAGCTGAAGACAACGAGAACCTCGTGCCCGTCACCGTCCTCACCGGCTTCCTTGGGAGCGGGAAGACCACCCTGCTCAACCACATCCTGGTGGCTACGCCGCCCTCCCTCCCACCACCTCGCACACGCCTCCGCGTCGCTGCACCGCCCCGGCTCCTTGCGCCTCGCTCCAGCCACTCGAACGTAAACCGCTGCGCCGCCGCCCCCCCCGCGCGCGCCCGCTCTCTCCACTCCCCACCCTCCTTGTCCGCGTCAGACCGCCACCCTACGGCAAGAAGATCGCCGTCATCGAGAACGAGTTTGGCGATGATCGCTTCGAAGACGAGCTGCTGCTAAAGAACT